AAAGTCCATATGAATTGTGGAAACCTATTTAAAAAGAGAACTGATGGCTAAGGTTGCTTGAAATGCACTTTACTGCAAGTTTGTGTTTTCTATGGCATTATTTCATTCCTATGAGCAACTTAGTGGTAATTGTTAACATCTTAGATTTATTTTGCAGATAGTAGCACAGATGGACCAGAGTTATGTACAGGTGGGAGTCTTGTATATATACTTGTAAATGTTTTGTATAATATCAATTGGTTACATAGAAATGGAATTTATAAGAAACAGTAATTAAACTATTGTGTATATATATTTGTAAATAAATTTGTTTTTACTATTTTAGTCTCGCTTTATTATATATATCTATATATATAAAAGGCTAAGTGTCCGTCTGTCTGACTGGTAGCTATGATGTGCAGTGACCACCAGGGGGCAGATGCTCAATGCAGGAGCTGCCGTGACATGCACTGGCCATCCTATATAAAGAGCTAATATGCAAATGGTTGTCATGCCCTTCGGCCAGGGGACCTAAGGCCGAGCTCCCCGCCCTGCAAGGCTTGACAGGGTGGGGCCAGTCTGGTCTGGGTCTCGCAGGATTTTGAGGTGCACTTGGGTGGGCAGGGACTTGACTCTGGGTCCCATGGTGCGCCCCAGACTCTGACAGGAGGGAGATTTTCATATACATTTTACTAATTTTCTTCCATCTCTGACACTATTATAGAGAAAGGGCAAATAGCAATATTAAAATATTTCCTCTAATTCCCTTTTAATGTGCATGCACTGGGCCACTAGTCTATATCTATAATAATAAATGGGTAATATGCTAATTAGACTGGACATCCTTCTGGTCAACCTTCCAGACGAAGCCGGGGCTGCGAGGGAAGCCCGGGTTCTGGGTGCCAGAGGGAAGCCTGGGTTCCGGGTGCCAGAGGGAAGCCTGTGCCAGCAGCCAGGGGAAGGAAGGCCTACTCTTGCATGAATTTCGTGCATCGGGCTTCTAGTATATATATAAAACCCTAATATGCAAATAGACTACAGAGGAATAGCCGGTCACTATGATGTGCGCTGACCACTAGGAGGTGTGTGCAGAACATGGGCATTGGCCTGGTTAGACAGTCAAGTCAGAGAAAACAAGGATTGGCTTTAAGATTTGTAACTGAAAATATGGTTAACCTGAGCATCCTGTTAGTATTAGTTGGTATCTTAGTAAAATTACATAACTCAAGGATTTCCTTGTAAGGGAGACTTGAAATAATTGACAATACTAGATTTTTTCACTGTCACTTAGCTGGTAACGGAAAGTACCCAATCTGATTATGACCTACATTCAAATAGCTGTTTAACAGATGAGAGGTCTGGCTAGTTGCTGTGGATATGTGCCACTTCTGAGACTGGACTTCTACTGTGATCTCAACTGCCTTCACCATTAGCTTTGAAGTAGACTTCAGCCTCTTAATATGCTTGAGACTTCCCTATTTAATTTTCTCTTAGTCTATTCACTTTCTCTTCCCAGTACCCTGAAAAGAATATCGTTATATTTGTGTTTTTCTCATAATTGCCCCATCCTTGTCTAATTTAACCTTATTAGTTGCCTGGCCAGGACTATGTTTAATCTTTCCTATACTTTGAAACACAGAAGAAACTGCATACCCCCAGACAAGCTGTCATTACATAATTGGGATACAATTACTCAGTGTGATACCCTGTTACCATCTAATCTGTGGACAATACAGTCAGGTGCCGCTTCAACCACAGGAACATGTTCTGAGAAATGGGTATAGCCGATTTCATCATTGTGCAATCGGCTCTTACACAAACCTGGATAGTACAGCCTACACACCTAGGCTAGATGGTATCCCGAGGTCAGCAAACTGCGGCTCGTGAGCCACATGCGGCTTTTTGGCCCCTTGAGTGTGGCTCTTCCTAAGCCTTAGGAGTACCCTAATTAAGATAATGTACCTACCTATATAGTTTAAGTTTAAAAAATTTGGCTCTCAAAAGAAATTTCAATTGTACTGTTGATATTTGGCTCTGTTGACTAATGAGTTTGCCGACCACTAGTATTGCCTATTGCTCCTGGGCTAGAAATCAAGCACACACGAGCAAATGCAACCAAGAGTGTAAACATGATGTAACGTGGCATAGGGTTCTACAGCAAACTAAGAGTACACTCAGTAGCACAGCTGGTGTGGCTCTGGTTGAATGTTGACCCAGGAACCAACAGGTCAAGGTTTGACTCCTGGTCAGGGCACATGCTCAGACTGTGGGCTCAGTTCTTGGTGGGGGGTGTGTTTCTATCTTTCTCCCTTCTTCTAAAAAGCAACATTAGAAAAAAAGTAAATACATAAACCAGTAACAATCATTTGTTAAGTATTATGTACTGTATATAATTGTGCTATACTTAAGTAGGTTTGTTTACACAGCATCACCAGGAACACCTGAGTAATGTGTTTTGCTACAATGACTACTTCCCTAGGTAATAGGAATTTTTCAGCTCCATTGTAATTTCGTACGACCACCCTTTATATTTGCATTCCATCATGAACTGAAACAGTTATGCATTGCATGACTATGGCAAGGTGAGAATTTGTATCAAGGGTCTAGATTCAGTGCTGTCCAATAGAAATACGGTATTAATTCACACCAGTAAATTAATTTATCCCAGTATATCTAAAATATTTCAACACAATATAAGGAATGCTGTGAGGCATACACCTCGCCTTCTCTCGAGCAGGCTTGGTCCCGGCGTCATCCTCATCTGATGTCATCCGGCCTCGGGAACTCGGGTAATTACTGTGTGGTTAGCGTGATCCAAAGGTACAGAATGGATCTTGAAGGAAAGGGTCGTTGCTGGGCCTCCAAAAGAACCCCGTGTAGACATTGAGAACCTTCGGCCTCCTGACCTCTGGGGTTTACTGTTGGCAGAAAGCAGACTTTGAGTGGACCAAGATTAATCCAGGAGTGGGGAAATGATTGAAGTGATGTGCACATTTCTCTTAAGTGCCCATGCTCACATGGCTGAATAGACATAGAATCCGGAGAATGGAGGAGGTCAGGAACCCTGTGTGCCATTGGTCAGAAAGTAGATTGATTATAGTTGGATCTTCCCTTTGGCTTGGTTCAGTCTGTCCAGTAGCAGTTTCTGGCTTGGGGAGTTGAAATACAAGGCCTCTTAGGAAAGACTGACCCTGTATTTTCCTGATAAAGCATAATAAATTTTGTAGGCTTCCTATCTGGAGAAGGAAAGTAAAAAGTTATTTAAATAAATAAAAAGAAATACTGTGATATTTTACACTGAGTGTGTGTGTGTGTGTGTGTTTGTGTTGTGACCTAGTGTGCATTTTTACACTTAAAGCACAGTTTAATTTGCCCTAGCCACATTTCATGTAATCAATAGTCATATGGTGGGTGGCTACCATTTTGGGGCTAGAGTGAATTTCCAGTACCAGGCACTGTTCTCAATGTTTTACATATTTTATTCTCTGTTTTCTGAGCTACAGATGAGGAATCAGAGCCAGAAAGCTTGACTGTACACTGCCTCAACAAAACACAATATTTGGATCTATAGCTTATGAGGCTGGTATGAATTGTATTTACCTTTTTCTTTTTTTCCTGCAATTCTCATTCCACAAGAGCTTTTTTTGCAGGTAATCTCCCCCACAACTTCTTGGTGACTTAATTTTCAAACTTCATTCTACCATGAGGATAAATCAAGTTTGTTAGCACAGGGATGGAAATAAACCCAAATAGATGTTACTTGTATGATAGGCCATTCATAGCAGACTTTTGGATTTTATTGTAGGGGGAGGAGATGAGGCATTCAACTGTATTATATCTTTAAATGTTACTTTACTGCTTCAGGGGACAATGTGGTAAGGATGGAAAAGCAATTGTTCTTGAATAAGAAGGCCACAGGGATATACTGACTCTGATTATTCAAGGACTGTGTGATGTAAGCACGTCCCTTAGGATTGCTTTGAAACAGGTGTCCCAAAGGATGAATGTCACTGTTTAGGTACTTGAGAGGATTGTAGATGCCACCAAATGACAGTCACATATGGACAAACGCGCAGGGGGCCTGGCCTGGTGGCAGGTTTTGTCCTGGAACTGCTGCCCTGAGGGGCTCTCCTCCTCCGAGCAGCCCACTGAGCTGCCCACCGGCACTTGCGGCGGGAGGGCCGGCTTCTCCCCGCACCGCCCAGCGAGACCCGCGAAGCTGAGCCCTAGGGGTTGCACCGATATTCAGTCCAACCAGTCTCACCAATGTAGGTGTGGCCGAGCTTTTGGATTTTTGCCATTATTGTACAGTTCCCCAAACAGAAAGAATAACCCACCGAGATTCTGATGGGAACATTATTTATACTGCTTTAGAGACTCCTTTTGGGATACGTTTCTATATCGTCTTCGAACCAGAAAATCCTTCACCTATTCAAACTTAACTTTTTTGGACCTCACATTATGCTTTTCTTCCTGTTACCGTTTAAATTTTATACCTAGCTATCTTTTCATTTTGGGGCTTACTTACTCACTTCTACGTCGAATTAGTGGTTATTAGTGCAGAAAATAATTTCCATATATTCCTCTTGTATCCAGCACTACTTTTTTTTTTCAGCACTTTACTTTTATTAACTTAACGCACAGGTTCCCTGCTAGAGACGTAGAGTAAACAAGATGGACGCTTCTGCGCTCCTTGTTTACAACGCTGACGCGGGAAACGGAAATGAACAAAGGGAAATCTCTTACGCTCTTGAGAAAATTAAAACGGGGCCATCTGTGACAGTACTGAAAGCCCACGTAACACAAGGTAGTCAGGGGCGAGCTGACAGTCAGGATAAACACTGTCCGCTCCAGGGAGCAACACGCAGCGGAGCTGACCCCCTTACCAGGCCCGCAGTCGGCCTTTCTTCCTTCCCGTCCCCTTCCGCGCGCTTCCTGCCCTTCTCTTCCCACCTCCCCGCCCTCCCCACCGTCTTCTGCGGCTGCGCAAGGTCCTGCCCAATCGAAAACCGGCTCACTGCTAGAAAGAGCAGGGATTGGTCCCAACCTCCGAGGCTGCCGGGAAGGGGCGGGGCTTATCGTAGGTTATTAACATCAATCAGAGGGCCGACGGAAGTGCTGTGTTGTTGCCGGAAGTGGGAAGGAGAGTGTTGTGATGGCGGCTTCGGTTCTAACCGAGAAGGTAAGTGCCGCCGGCTCTACCCAGGGGATTTCGTGGGGCGACTCACAGGGGCCGACAGGGGCGAGAGGTGGAGGAGATGCCTGGGTGCTGGGACAGGGAGGAGTAGGCGCTGTGGAGTCGGGGTCGGCAGTGCGGGCCCGGCGCGGCCTGGTCGGGCCCGGCGGGGACTCGGCCTGGGCAGCCCCGGGAGAAGCCGAGCAGCCTGCCAACCGCCGTCCCTCCCTGTCGCAGGTGCTGGCGAGCAGTGAGCAGGAGGAGCAGCCCCTCGCGGCGGCGGAGGAGCTGTCCGCCCAGAAGCGCGAGCAGAGACTCCGCAAGTTCCGGGAGCTGCACCTGAAGCGGGTGAGTAGGTGCTGAGCCCTGGCACTGGCCGGGCCCCTGCGTGTCGGTGGGGGGACGAGGAAGTCGCAGCAGCGAGCCTAACAAACCCGCGTGGCCCGATGCAAGATCTGTCCCGGTGGTTCTCAACGCTGGTAGCACGTTAGTCACTTTTGAAAATACAGTTGACCCTTGGACATCGCATCTGGGTTTAGGGGTGCTGAACCCCGCAGTCGAAAATCCGTATATAACTTTGGATGCTACAGTTGCCCCTTCGCATACTTGGATTCAACCAACCGCGCAGAATGAAAACAGTATGAGCTATACGCGAATTTTCGACTGTGTGGGGCAGCACTGTTATTATCAAATAAAACATTAGTCTTGTTTCATTAATCCTGCCTCATTTGTAAAAACTTAAGATACTCAATCAAAAATGCGTTGGCTTTCCGACAGTGCCAATCCAGAGCACAATCACACTTCCTCGAATTTCCCCCAAGCCGCTGACACCTACCCCCTAACCCTATACCTACTCCCTAACACTCTCTCACCTAAATGCCTACAGTTCCCTTTGGTTTGCTGTCTCTTTCAGGGCAACACACACAACTTTGTTTGATTTCAGGTGTTTTCTTGGTGTCTTCACCTGGAGGGTATTGTCAGCGTCAACAATAAATAAGGGATGGTAGTTGAGAGGACATTCTCTCTTTTCCCCCAAAAGTTAATCTAAGAAAGACTTAAACACACTTAAATATTTACTTGGATGAACTGTGTAAAAAACATCTGGTTGGAAATTAGGAGACATGGCTTCCTGGACTTACTGCCACCAGCCTGTGACCTGAGAAACATCAAACTTAATTTTTCCTTAAGATGGTATACTTATTTTATTTTATGCAGTTAAATTTATTTTAAAACAGACTCTTCACAGAGTAATCCAACTGGAAAACTTCTTTCATTTGCCATAATGTAAACTGTTAAAATATTTGAAAAGGAGGGAGGACTTGGAAAGGATTAGAGATATTAAGATAGGTTTTAGAGCCCCAGCCCCAAATTGAGGCTTTTTCCTTGAGTTAAGATGAAAAGAGACTGGAAAGTAGAACGTCATTCTCATCATGTGTTTAACATCATTCCGTGCCATCTGAAGCCGTTAGTGCCCCTGTAGTAGTCCTTCCCCTTTGTGAAACCTCGTCCTATCCAACCCTAAGGGACCTGCTCAGAGGGACTGCACAGCTAAACAGAGGTAAAGCTGACATGAACCTGCAGGCCTCTGGAGCAGCAAATCCGTGCAGCCCAACACATTTTTTTTTTTTTGACTCGATACAAATGCAGACCTAGTTAGGTGGTTCCCTTGCTTAAAATCCTTTGATGGCTCTCTCTTGCTTTAAGATAAAATGGGGTCCCCTTGGTAATGTGTCTTACCTGACCCTCAAAGAAGGCAAGATCTATTTGGATTGATTTTCATGCTTCAGCTATAAACTTTCGTTACGTTGTAGAATGAAGCCCGTAAATTAAATCACCAGGAAGTTGTGGAAGAAGATAAAAGACTGAAGTTACCTGCAAATTGGGAAGCCAGAAAAGCTCGTTTGGAGTGGGAACTACAGGAGGAAGAAAAGAAAAAGGTTAGGAACGCCTCTGCTGTTTCATAAGTGGTTTACTCGGTCTTTCTGTTGTATTGACGCAGTCAAACCAGGTGGTTTTGTACACTGGTTCTAGAGCTAGACTGCCAGAGTTCAGGTCTTGGCTCTGCTTTTTACTAGCTGCAACACTTTGGGTGAGTTATCTAACCTGTCTGTGCCTCTGTTTTCTCACCTGTAAAATGGAGACTATGATAATAATTGAGCTAATTATGAGTTAAATGAGCCAGTGCCTGTAAAACAGGGTCTGACACTGATAAATGCTGAATAAATATTATTTTAAATCTGTGTGCTTATTTCTTTTCTTTTTTTTTTTAATATATTTTATTGATTTTTTACAGAGAGGAAGGGAGAGAGATAGAGAGTTAGAAACATCGATGAGAGAGAAACATCGATCAGCTGCCTCCTGCACACTCCCCACTGGGGATGTGCCCGCAACCAAGGTACATGCCCTTGACCGGAATCAAACCTAGGACCCTTGAGTCTGCAGGCCGATGCTCTATCCACTGAGCCAAACCAGTTAGGGCTGTGTGCTTATTTCTGATATACTATAGCAGATTCCCAAATTTTCTTTGATTAATCATTATTTTAAAAGTATTGCTAGGTAATTTTATTCAATCTTTCTTGTTTTAAAATAGATAAAGTAATTGCTTGTATCATAATTGCTGGTTTCAGCTTTTTCCTTTCATTTTAGGAATGTGCAGCCAGAGGGGAGGACTATGAGAAAGTGAAGTTACTGGAGATCAGTGCGGAAGATGCAGAAAGATGGGAGAGGAAAAAGAAGAGGAAAAACCCCGACCTGGGATTTTCAGGTAAAATTGGCTTTTACTTTATTGAATGGGCCTGTTAGGTAAGCATCGCCTTCAATGTTCCTGATTTATGAAAGGATACGCCCCTTCAGGGATATTCTCTAAGAGGCATAAACCCAAGAAAATACAAATATATCTCCTGGGGCAGCAGTAAAGGCTGTACTTCAGTCATCTGGATTCTTTTTTTTTTTTTTAAATATATATTTTATTGATTTTTTTACAGAGAGGAAGGGAGAGAGATAGTTAGAAACATCAATGAGAGAGAAACATGGATCAGCTGCCTCCTGCACATCTCCCACTGGGGATGTGCCTGCAACCCAGGTACATGCCCTTGACCGGAATCGAACCTGGGACCCTTCAGTCCGCAGGCCGACGCTCTATCCACTGAGCCAAACCGGTTTCGGCCATCTGGATTCTTCTATTCTTCGTGGTAAAATTAATCGAGGCTTGTATTGTCAGCATCTTCAGGATAAGAGGCTCTGCTTAGATTGGTGTCTTGTGCATATATTGCTACTAATAATTTAGATTTTTCTCCCCTGAATTGTAATGACCAAACAAGGAAGTATATTATGTCTGATTCTCATTTTCTTTTTAGATTATGCTGCTGCCCAGTTACGCCAGTATCATCGGTTGACCAAACAGATCAAACCTGACATGGAAACATATGAGAGACTGAGAGAAAAGCAGTAAGTTGACAGTAATGCAAGTTTTTTGTTTTTTTGGGGGTTTTTTTGCATCCTGAGGTAGACATATTTGTGTGTGAATATATATACAACCATACACACATAAATAATGCCTAGGTAATGTTTAGGTATGGGTTATCAGACAGCTGTCTTAAGAATGATTTCTGATCTCAGCAACACTATTGCTCACTCCACAGTAGTTAAACTCATCATCTGGCTATCTTTCTAGCTGGGCGTTCCAAGACTGAGTGTGGAGTGTTTAAAACCAGATTATCCTATTCACTCCGATATTCTTTTAAGATGCTTTAGTGCAGGGGTCCTCAAACTTCTTAAACAGGGGGCCAGTTCACTGTCCCTCAGACGGTTGGAGGGCTGGACTATAGTTTAAAAAAAAACTATGAACAAATTCCTATGCACACTGCACATATCTTATTTTGAAGTAAAAAAACAAAACGGGAACAAATACAATATTTGTATTTGCATGTGGCCCGCGGGCCGTAGTTTGAGGACCCCTGCTTTAGTGCCAGCATGTGTGAACTTTTTTTTTTTTTTGTAAAGGACCAGATAGTAAACATTTTAGGCTTTGTGGGCTGTATGGTCTCTGTACAACAACTACTACTCCTCTCTGTTGCTGTGATGTGAAAGCATAGAGGACCTATAGACAGATGAGTGTGGCTCTGTCCCAGTAAAACTGTTTATAAAAACATGGTGGAGCTTGCCAACCCCTGCTTTAGTGGAGAGAGAAATACGTGAACTTGGAGGCAAGTCCTGACTCTGGCCCTTGGCTCTTTCATCTATAGAATGAAAGTGTCAGAATAAGTGATTTATTAGATCCCTTCTGATTCTGTATTTTTGTTTTTTAAGATTTTTTTATTGATTTTCAGAGAGCAGAAAAGAGAGAGAGAGAGAGAGAAACATTGATATGAAAGCGAAGCATCAGACAGGTGCCTCCTACATGCCCCCTACTGGGGATCAAGCCTGCAATCCTGGCATGTGCCCTGATCAGGAATTGAACCAGCAATCTTTTTTGTTTCTTTTTAAAAAAATATTTTTATTGATTTTTTACAGAGAGGAAGGGAGAGAGATAGAGAGTCAGAAACATCGATGAGAGAGAAACATCGATCAGCCGCCTCCTGCACATCCCCCACCGGGGATGTGCCCGCAACCCAGGTACATGCCCTTGACCGGAATCGAACCTGGGACCTTTCAGTCCGCAGGCTGACGCTCTATCCACTGAGCCAAACCGGTTTCGGCTTTATTTCTTTTTTAAAAAATATTTTTATTTATTGATTTCAGAGAGGAAGGGAGTGGGTGAAAGAGATAGAAACATCAATGATGAGAATCATTGATTGGCTGCCTCCTGCACACCCCCAACTGGGGATCAAGCCGACAACCTGGGCAGATGCCCTGACCAGGAATTGAACCGTGACCTCCTGGTTCACAGGTTGATGCTCAACCACTGAGCCACGCAGGCTGGGTGAACCAGCAATCTTTTGGTGCACGGGATGGTACCCAGCCAACTGAGCCATACGGGCCAGGCCTCTGTATTTTTTTTTTTTTAGGTTAAGGTGGGACCCACCCCACAGTAAATATGTGTCTCTCTTTTATCTCTCATCCTGAATGGTTTACTTTGAAATTAGAGAATGTGGTGCACTTGTATTGTTACTGTAAGGTCATTTTGCTGTCTTTTCAGTGGAGAAGAGTTTTTCCCAACATCCAACAGTCTTCTTCATGGAACACATGTGCCTTCCGCACAGGAAATTGATAGGATGGTCACAGATCTGGAAAAACAGTAAGTACTCAGTAGAGCAGAGTGAAATTTTAAGTGCTTAATGACAAAATGAACATAATAAGCTTAGAATGAATTGAATAGACAGATATTATACTTGCTAATTTCTGACTTAGCATGTACAGTGGTTTTGGGGACAGCAAGTATGAGTTGAGTCCATATGATTTGGAATGGAGAAGCAACCAAAATATTGATAAAATTGAATTGTTATCATTGAAGCAGGGAAAGATCTAAAGAAAATTCTTCTTTAAGAACTTTTATTTAGTAATCACTCTGCTATTTGATTTGAAGAAGCAAGAGTGTTCTAGTAAATGTACCTCCACTACATTTGTGTTTCTTATACTGATAGGGGTGAATATTAGGCAGAGTGGAATGAATCTGTATTTTAGAAGTTAATACATGTGAAGTATTAAGGATAGTGTCTCACTGTGCACTCCATATTAGCTGTGGTTATTATTAATATAATTATTATTGTAGTCATCTTCTTTTAATATTTTATGTATCCAATCCAGTTTATAACAAGGTTATCATTGCTTTCTTAGAGGCATTCTGAAGGTGAATTTGTATATACTGGGTTTCATGGTTCTTACCCAGGGTTGTGCTATTAATTAGCAGCTTCAACTTAATCTTGATGAAAACTGCTTCCCCCACCCACCAAAGTGTGCTATTCTAAGTGTAATGATGCTTTTTCTCAACTACTCAGCCATTTCTATTAAGACAAAAAAAGAAGACAAGCCCTGGCCAGCCAGCTCAGTTGGTTAGAGTGCCGTTCTGATATGCCAAGGTTGCGGGTTTGATTTCCGGTCAGGGCACAAGCAAGAATCAATGAATGAATGAATGCATAAATAAGTGGAACAACAAATCAATGTTTCTCTCTCTCTCTCTCAAGTTAATAAATTAAAAAATTTTAAAAAAGACATTTAAAATTTTTTAAATTACTTTCTTTTTTCCTCAGAATTGAAAAACGAGACAAATATAGCCGGAGACGACCTTATAATGACGATGCAGATATCGACTATATTAATGAAAGGAATGCCAAATTCAACAAAAAGGCAGAAAGATTCTATGGGAAATATACAGCTGAAATTAAACAGAATTTGGAGAGAGGAACAGCTGTCTAATCTTCAGGAACTGTTTTTAGAAGCTTGGGATGGAGTGAAAATTTCTGCTAGCAGAACTGTCTATGCCTTCCCACTCAGCATTTAAAAATAAATGTTTTTTCTTAATCATATATTTCCAAATTTTTGTGTTTGGATATAAGATGTATTTCTTGTAGTGTACTTGTTTTGTAATAATCTACTTTGTATAAATCCTAATTATATTATTTTTCTATGTATTTTAAATGTGTGATTGTTTAATCTTTGAAGCATTTTGGGCTTAAGATTGCTGGTACCAAACATAAATTCAGTCACTGTCGCTTTGAATCATGTTGGGAATTTGACAGAATCTAGAGTTGGACTCAGGAACCATGTGGGATTGAAGCTAAGGACAGTGATGAAGGTGTGGCAGTGGCTCCTGGAGGACTGGTGCAGGCTGGACCCAGGACTGCTTATGACCAAGTTCAGGAAGTAACAGAACTGTCCTCCTGTGAATATGGACCATGTACTGTTCCCTTTTTTTACAAAGCAAATATCCTGTGGAATAAAATCCCTACTAAACCCTCTGCTTATCATTCAAAAATATATTTGTATATATACACACACACACCAACATACATGCTTCCAATTCCATACATTTGAAATTTCTTTTTTATGGGAAATTCCAAACATATTCAAAAGAAGACAATTTAATACAATGATCCCCACATACTCAATCCTCATCTCATGGCCAATACAGTTTCATCTTTATTTCTACTTTCCCCTCCATGACTCCCATTTCTTTTGAAGCAAATACCAGATGTATAACTTTATATGTTACACATTTTTTAAGTATGTATCTGAAAACCCATGAGCGTCAACCCATAGAGGTCGCTGGTTCGATTCCCAGTGAGGGCACATGCCCGAGTTGTGGATTTGATCTTCACTGTGGAGTGCGCAGGGGGCAGCCAATGATGTTTCTCTCTCTCTATCCCTCTCCCTTCCTCTCAATAAATTAAAAAAGAAAACATTAAAAAAAGAGGAGGATATAAAAAAGACCCACATCAAACTGGTAGTCATGAAAATACGTTTCTGAGATGAAAAATACCCTGGGTGGGTTTAACCCGACTGCTGCTGAGTTCCCATCAGCCACTGCTTATTCTGTTCATCTCCCAGGCAGCCATGGCTGGGCGACGCTCCTCTAACAGTGCTCTTGCTCCTGCCCCTGCCCCTGCCCATCAGGACAGAGCTGCCTCCCCATTAGCCTTTTTTTTTTTTTTTTCTAAAGCTGGGACATCTTAGTGGGGACAACTTCCTCTTTGGCTCATTTATTTCAAAGGCCATCTCAGAGAAGTGGGTCTTAATGATTACTTTCAACTGTGTTCCCTCACTTGGAAGGCCCCGTTGAGCAGTTTTTGTCCAGGTGGTGGAGCTGAGCATAACAAAATGGTCTCCAATAATTACCATTCATTGTCATGTGACAGTGTTCCAAGCTGGCTCTAGTGAGTTTGCCCCCAGGGGAGTCCTCTGAAGGCCTTAGTGGAATGGGGACGATAATAGCACTAACCTCACAGGATTGTTGTTGGTATTAAGTGGATAACCCAGGCAAAGCACTGAGCACACCGAGCTGTGTGGAGTACATGCCCATGCATGTTGGCAGTTCCTGTAACGTCACATTCTCCAATAAGACTTTTGTTATCTCCGTTCTCAGGGCAAGAAGCACTGTGCAAAAGCCAGTAAAAACGCCGACTAAGGTGCCAGATAGCCTGGAATCGAATGTCAGTTCTTCCATCTGCCAGGCAAAAGATCTGGGGCCAGTCACGGCATTCGTCTGCTAGGGCTGCCCTAACAGGATACAGACAGGGGGGCTTAAACACCAGAAATGTGTGTTCTCACAGTTCCGAAGGCTGGGAGTCCAGGAGCAAGGGACCAGCAGGGTTGATTTATGGTGAAAACTCCTCGGCTTGCAGGAGGCCACCTTCTTGCTGTGCCCTCACATGGCCTTTTCTCCCTGTTCGTGCACTGGGGGTGTCCCCTCCTCCCCCCCCCATAAGGACATCAGTCCTATTGGATTAGGGTCCCCACCCTCATGACCTCATTTAACCTAAATGACTTTAACAAAATATATCTTTATTGACTTCAGAGAGGAAGGGAGAGAGAGATAGAAACATCAATGATGAGAGAGAATCATTGAACGGCTGCCTCCTGCACACTCCACACTGGGGATTGAACCCACAACCTGGGCATGTGCCCTGACTGGGAATCAAACCGTGACTTTCTGGTTCATAGGTCAGTGCTCAACCACTGAGCTAAGCAGGCTGGGCTTAATGACTTTCTTAAATAGAGTCACATGGGGGTTAGAGTTTCAGCACATAAATTTTTTTTTGGGAGGGGGCACTCAATTTGGCCCATAAAATCACCCACCTCTTTGTGATTCAGTTTCCCCAGCTCTAAAAAGTGTTAATGATACCTACGTTGGGGAGATTAAATGAGTACAATGTGCTTATACCAGTGCCTGTTCATAGGGGTACTATGTGAGTTATAACAGTAATAAGTCAATAAATATTATCCTCCTGGGCATTTCCTCTACTTGGTCTGCTCTCTTTCCTCACCTCCCAATCAAGATAATGCCACATTATTGATTCAGAAATCTCTGAGGGAGGTAGGATTACCACGTGACTTACACCCTGCCCCCCAAGTCTTGGCTTTTTTTTTTTTAACAAGCAGAGGCTTCCTCTTCCTGCCAATCTGGAGCGCTGCAGCGGGAGGCAATCCAGGAGCTTTGAAGCGCCCTGCCAGCCCTCTGCACCTCCAGCACCAGCCGCTCCCATCGGAAGCTCATCGCTTACACAGGACTACGTTTGCACTCGGCCTGGGCTGCTTCTCCACTTAGAGTCACCGTCCAGTTCCTGACAGATGACAACCACCCGCAGAACTCAGGGATCTGAGACCAGAGGTCCCACCTGGCTTTCTGTTTTAATAGAACCAGCACTTGTGGTCAAATCATTAAAAGAAAAAAACAACCCCAAACATCTCTTATCTATAAAAATGTTCACATTTTGGGTGAATAGTTTAGTCTTGTCCCCATGGGTGGGGTTGTCATATTTATGTTTGGAAAGTTACAGGCTGATGGGAGCTCTACAGGCTGTAGGGACCACAAGAAACTAGAAGATACGGACAACCTCTCGTGTGTGTGTGTGTGTGTGTGTGTGTGTGTGTGTGTGTGTGTCTGTGTGTTGGGAGGGGACAGGAGTGTGTTTCTGCAGCTGGAAATGGTCCTTGGGGGAGAGATGCAAAAAAACCCCAACACAACAAAAACACCCAATAGTCTCAGAAACATACCCTAGTATGGAAGATGTTCATCACATATTTGTAAAATAAACATAAAACATTTAAAATATACTACAGTTTTTACAACATTTTGTATTAGCATTTCTCATTCTTATTAATAATATATTGCCGAAACTGGTTTGGCTCAGTGGATAGAGCATCAGCCTGCGGACTGAAGGGTCCCAGGTTCGATTCCGGTCAAGGGCATGTGCCTTGGTTGCGGGCACATCCCCAGTGGGAGATGTGCAGGAGGTAGCTGATCAATGTTTCTCTCTCATCGATGTTTCTAACTCTCTATCTCTCTCCCTTCCTCTCTGTAAAAAATCAATAAAATATATTAAAAAAAAATAATATAGAAGTTCTCAAATAAGAACTGAGCTAGTCCTCTCCTGTTGCTTAGAGGCGGGTGTGGCTAGATAGAGACAGAGCCTGATAGTAGAAAAGGGATGGGGAAGGAGAGCAGGGCCTCAAAGTGACCACGGCAGCTGTTTAGCGCCCCCTGGTGGGATTTGAGGAGCATAGCTTCAAAATCAGTCTCATTTAAAAAACCTCAAAATACAAGCATTGGGCTTTTCCCTAGATATAACATTAAAACGTAGTCATTGTAAATTGTTGATACAGGCATTCTAAATCAGTGACATGTGAATCAGTCAGATTTTAGTAATATTTTGCTCATTACTAGGGAAAGAGAATTTTGGTTTCATAATGCAGCTTCACAAAGTTTTCATCAAAATTAGCTTATGTAAACATGATTCAATTGATGTCTGTACATTTTCTAAACAAAGATATAAAAATGGCCAGTAAACACACGGAAAGGTGCTCGATGCCATGTGCCCTCAGGCAAACACAAAGTAAAACTATGATGAGGTATCACTTCCCATCCACCAGCATAGCTCTAACCAATGACACAGATACTCACAAGAGTGGACGAGGACGTGGAGGAATCCGGACCTTCTACACTGCTGGTGAGGAATAACTGCTGTGACAGTTCCTCCCAAGGTTAGGCCTCGAGTTACCGTATGAAGTAACAATTTCATTCCTAGGTATGCGCCCAAGGAAGACATATTGCCACAAAAAATCTTGAAAGCAAATGTTCACAGCAGCATTACTTGTAACAGCCAAAGAGTAGAAAGAGCTCAAATGTCCATCAACTGATGAATGGATAAGTGTGGTATAGCCACACAAAGGAATATTATTCATCAATAAAAAGGAATAACGTTCTGATACAGGCCACACCACGGTGAACCCAGAGGACATTTTGCTAACGGACAGAAGTCAGACACAAAAGACCATCCATACCTTGTATGACTCCATTTATACGAAATGTCCAGAACAGGCAAGTCCATGGAGACAGAACGTAGACTCGTGATTGCCCGGGGCTGGGTGGGATGAAGGAGGGAGTGATAGGGAATGACTGTTAATGGGGACGGAGTTTCCTTTTGGGATGATGAAAATGTTCTTAAATTATAGTGTGGTGATGGTTACACCCCCCCGCGAATATGCTAAAAACCGCAGAACTGTGCACTTTAAAAGGTGAATTTTATGGCATGAGAATTATATCTCAATAAAGCTGCTACGGTTTCTGTTCCTAATCATATGATGAGAAGACTTCCATCGAGTTTGGAAGGTCTGTTTGACACGCAGGCTTCATAAAATCCATTTGGACTGATTCCCAGGAGGCCCCTCGAGAAATCAAAGCAGCCAAGACAGATTCCCGAGAGACACATGTGATCGCCCATCCAGAGACATCGCAACAGCTCGACCAAATGACTCATTGGACAAGCGGTTTTGAGCACCTACGACATGCTAGCAAGTGTTCTAGAAGCTTGGCTATATCAATGAACAGATTCAAGGGTTGATTTTATTATTTATTTGCTCACTTACTTATCTTTCTTTTTTTAAATAATTCTTTATTGTAAGGGTTGATTTTAGTTAAGCGGCTTCTCACGTGGGTGACTCTGGACTGATGGCTCCGGGGTGAGCGCAGCCGGCATTGAGTGATGGATGGAATGAAGGATTCGTGGCTTCCTTCCTCCTATTCCGGGGAAACCAGGCCATTTAAAAAAGCGAGGGAGATAGGAAGATACGGCATTTGTGAAAGCGTTTCTGTACTTGAGAAAGTCCATAGCAGTTAGGAATGACGTTGGCTGGGAACAATAGACATCCCGACGAAGAGGCGTGGACAAAGGGAAGACTAGTTTTCTCACAAAAATGTGGAGGCGGGAGATCACTCTGTGCCTGATAAGGTCACCGAGGG